TGTCTGAAACTGCATTAACCTTTTTCTACAGTGAAGAAATTTGAGAGCTCTGCTGTTTTTCTTCTTTAGAAACTTAAACTGAGACACAAAACATTTTTTTTTTTTTTTTTGGCAGTTTGCTTTATTTCCAGGCTTGTGCTGAGAAGAGTCATGTCTACATCTGCATGTAATATATAAAGCTACAGTTTGTGTAACCCAAAATATAATGTGAAAGAAGGACCATTTAAAATACTTAGACCCAAAGCAAATTTCCATGATTTTCACAAATAAGGCTTGTGAATTAATAAGGTGTATCATTTCATTGTTGTAGCAAACTGGATACATTTAATATTTAAAGAGGGAAACTTATACTTGCTTTTTATCCCCCAAATGGACTCTCTCAAGAAAATGCATAAATATTTTTATAGAATCAACTTGAAGAATATGAATATGTAAGTTTTGAAGCCCTCTATAATTACTGAATTCCAGTGGTCTTTTCTGTTTAAATCTAGACATTTCTCTTTAAAATAGTGTGATAGTATTTCTATTACCCAAAAAACTAAAACAATAATAAAGATCAGTTAAATTAGCTATTACATATTTGGTTAACAACATTAAATCTATAGTTTTAAAATTATTTTTATTTACTTTTGTATATTGAATTAAGTTACCTTTCTATTACTGTCATTTAAAGAGCTTAAAGTTTCCATAATTTGGGAGGTGGGTGGATCACCTGAGGTCAGGAGTTCGAGACCAGCCTAGCCAACATGGTGAAACTCTTGTCTCTACTAAAAGCACAAAAATTAGCTGGACATGGTGGTGGGTGCCTGTAATCCTAGCTACTCAGGAGGTTGAAGCAGGAGAATTGCTTGAACCCGGGAGGTGGAGATTGCGGTGAGTCACGATGGTACCACTGTACTCCAGCCTGGGTGACAGAGTGACACTCTGTCTCAAAAATAAATAAATAAATAAATAAATAAATAAATAAATAAATAAATAAAATAAAGTTTACATAATTTGAACAGAGAGCAAAACTGGCAATATTATATCAGGAAGAAAATAAGGTCATTTGGATCACTACCATACCACTTCTAATTAATTCCTTCCAAAATGCTGCCTCTATTGTATCTGTCAACTATCGCCAGAAATTTTATGTAACAAGCAAGCGATATGTTAGAGTCATTTAACAACAAGAATTCATTTCTCTCACTTGTAAGTGTGCTGGGTCTGCTCATGTAGGCTGGATTTGCCTGGGCAGCTAGACTATGGCTGTGGGGCTGACTGGGCTTGCTAAGGCAGCTCTTCTCTGTGTGTGCTCAGTCTGGGGGCCATCATGCAGGCAGAGGAAGTTGTTTTCATGGCAGTGACAGGAGCGCAAGAAGCAGATTGGAAGCAGGTGAGGCCTCTCAAGAGCTAAACTTGGAGGAACTGGCACACGGTCCCTGTGCCCACATGCCTTTGATTGAAGCAAGTGTGTGGCTGAGATCAAAGGTCAAGGATGTACAAATTGTATTTTTGTGAGAGGAGCACAAAGTTGCATGGAAAAGAAAATGAGAAGAGACAATAATAGCTAGCAGCCACAGTGTCCAAGGCAATTTTCCATTACAATCATGGCTATCCAAGGCTCTTTGGTTACAATGGCAGGAGCAGCAGCAGTGACAAGATGATATAAGGTTTGTTGTATGAAAATAGTTCAAATGTTAAAATTAATAATGGCTTAACTAAAAATTTAGAAATCAGTTAGCAATATGCCTAAGATAGTGTTAAGTATTGTTTGTCAATGGGTGTTTTTCTATTAAATGGAGACCACTGGGCCCAGAAGAAATAAAGCTTACTTTTATTCCCTTGGTCAGCCTGAAATGTCTAGTAACCAGCAAAGTCCTGCAAGAGAAATGCTTCATGTTGGACACTAAAATGTATTCAATTGCACATCAATCTCTAAATCGCGAGTATGGTTTTTATTGTTTTATTTAAAGGTATTTCTAAGTTAATTTCACCTGTTTACAGCTTGTTTATCCTTTCACAGCTATATAATCAGACATAAAATGTTTTTAAGGATATTTTTAATAGTAAGTTAGATCTAATAAAGGTTTTTTAGGATATTATTAATGATGTAGGACTTTCTATTTGCATTATTTAATGAAATACACTGACACAGATTCTCATACTTTTTGCCCCACTAATGGACTCCCCCAAGAAATGGTGTTCATTTGCCTGAGAGTATAGTTTAGTTTCAAAAACTTTTCTCAGTGCATATCACTGCAGACCTTTGGAATATTCTCTCCTTCTTTTTCCTCTTCCCATGTAATTTTCAACTATCTCAAATGCAGCATTATTGCACTACTTGCTTATCAAAAAAGATCATGACAAAGTGACCTGACTTTTGTTGAACTAGCAAAGTAGTATATAATATATTTATTCTCAAAATGTGAAACTCATTTTAAAAGGCCAAATTCTGTTTATTTTTTAAAAATTCTTCAGTGAATATTATCTTTAGAAATACATGTGACATTATCTTTAAAAACACATGCAACATAGGGCAGGGTGGGGTGGCTCCTGCCCATAATCTCAGCACTTTGGGAGGTCAAGGCAGAAGAATCCCTTAAGCCCAGGAGTTCAAAACCAGCCTAGGCAACATGGTGAAACCCTGTCTCTACGAAAAATCCAAAAATTCTCCTGGTATGCTGGCATATGCCTGTAGTCTCAGCTAATCAGGAGGCTGAGGCAGAGGGATCACTTGAGCCAGTAGGTCGAGGCTGCAGTGAGTCGTGATTGCACTACTGCACTCCAGCCTGGGTGACAGAGTGAGACCCTGTCTCAAAAATAAATAAATAAAAATAAAAATACATGCAACATAAGAAACTAACAATGAAGGCAACTTATTTATAAGTTTCTAGTATCCAATACAGAATTTTTCATCTCTGAGGAATCTGAGGTTATGTAGCTAAAACCACTAGCTGTCTTTTCAGCTGTGTTATATTCTTAGTACTAATATGACCAGTTTCTGTGTGAGAAACTAAATATATATTCCCACACAATGCACAAATTCTTCCACATTTTTTTTCTGATAGGAATTCTGAAGCAAAATGGTTGTTCATAAGGTCAGAATTCTGTCTTGCTATGATTCATTTGTTCAGGCAGTCAGTGCTTACATTCAGCCATCCTGCACTGATAAGACCACACCCCCTATTAAAATAGAAAAAGACTGTCCTGAGCCCTTGAGAATCCTGCTTTCCTCTCCATGGTTCCCTCAGGACCCTTCAGTTCTGAGACTGAATGTCACCCTGTGGCATTTCAGTGTGTTCTGGCACCTTTTCCCATACTAAGATATAAGGGATCTATGCTGATTTTTCAACGCTTATGCCACACCAATTCTATTTATTTATTTATTTAGAAACGGAGTCTCACTCTGTCGCCCAGGCTGGAGTGCAGTGGCATGATCTCGGCTCACCGCAAGCTCTGCCTTCTGGGTTCACACCATTCTCCTGCCTCAGCCTCCCGAGTAGCTGGGATTACAGGTGCCTGCCACCACGCCTGGCTAATTTTTTGTCTTTTTAGTAGAGACAGGGTTTTACCCATGCCACACTAATTCTTAAATGTCTTTAATAGCATCTTTGCAGGCATAGGGAGAAAATGTTTAGAAATCAATTGGGTCTTAAAAGGAAATAGGAAGAGATAGATTCAATTTCAGGAAGAAGCAAAGTGGTAGTGAGAAAAAACACAGTGAATATGAGAACTCCCATTGAAGTCAGTGTTCAGTTCACATAAGGCTCTGTTACTGGGTAGTTGTGTGGTTTTGGTAAGAATTTAACCACACACTGAGCCTCAATTTTCTCATCTTTGAAACCAGAATGAGAATACCCATTTTGCATAGGGTAATATTTAAAACAGGAGGTAATATTTAACTGTGTCTGGCCCTATCTTAAGCATTTAAGAAATAATACCATCTATAATCATGGCTGTGCTCAATATAATGGAGCAAGTCGAATTAGCATCTCCAGACTTTGTTCACTTATTTTTAGTTAGTACTCTGAATACAGCTGCTGTAATAAGCACTGATAGCATAGGGGGCTCTGGTTCAGTGCTGAAGAACTTAGCATCCAAGGTTGAACATAAAGAATATCCTATTTATTTCTTCTAACTTGCTACAGGGTGTTGGCACTCTAGTTGTCTGTGGATAAACTTAATATCTTGATTAGTTCTCCTGAGAATGCCTCTGGAAACTGTTACGTGAAGTGGAAGGTGGAAGGCTGGCTAATACCTATGGTGGCTTCGAAATAGTCTGCTGAGGTCTGGTAGCTTGGAATTGTCAGACATTTGTTACCTTGACAACCACAGACAGCACAAGCCTGGGTTTTGAGTGACTTTAGATTCCTTTGCAGTTCCTTCTGGGGATGAATGATTTGTATGTCTAATCAATGAATGGCAAAAACATGTTATTTAATAAGATTAATGAAGCTCACATAAAGCATTCTGTACACTAAGTCCAATGGCATGGCTTCCTAAGAAACGTAGTTAACATTCTTTAGAAATGCAGTTAACATTTCTGGAATGTAGGCCTCAGGGAGAACCAGAGCCTCCTTTAATACGAGGTGAAGCTCTAGGCAGGGGTTACAATGCCACTTTCAGTTGACTCTGCTATATAGTCTCAGAATATGTCCTGAGCCTTATGAGGAAGAACTTTTTCCTCCATTTTCCTTTTATTCTCTTAATTGTTGATGATCTGGATAACACTGGGATGATTTCTAGACCTAAAACTTCCTTTAAATAAATCAATCCTGACCGTATATTTTTATAAGAGGCTAGGAAACAATGAAAACAAGTATTTGTTTGTTTGTTTTTGGTATTTTTGTTCTGCTTAAAGAAATTCTGGAATATAATTTTTCTTTCTAGAATGTTTTTCACGTTGTTCTCTGTTCCTGTCACAGTCTGGCCTCATCCTCCAACCTCAGGTTCACCTTCATTCCTTTCGATCGGACTCTAACAAACCTCAGTCTATAAACAGAGATCTACTCTCCATGTTTATTTATCATAGTAATTTATTTCTTGGATGTTGTATTGGCAATTTATTGCTATCTAACACACTATCCCAAAACTTAGCAGCTTAAAACAACTGGGGGTGATTATTTCACACAACTTCTGAGAGTCTGGAATCTGGAGTGTCTTATTGGGTGGTCTGGTTCAGTGTCTCTTATGAAGTTGCAGTCACTATCAGTTGGAGCCACAGGCTATAAGACTTGACCAGGACTAGAAGAACCACTTCTAGTTTCACTCATGAGGTTGTTGGCAGAAGTCAGTTCTTTGTTCCATGGCCCTTTCCATAGGACTGTTTTCTCAATATGGCAGCTGGCTTCCCCTAGAATGAGCTGTGGGAGAGACAGCAAGAAGCTTTCTTTTATAATCTGACCTTAGAAATGACTATTACTTATGCTTTCTTCTGTTCACACAGACCAATCCTGATACAATGTGAGAGGGGACTACATAGGAGTGTAAATACGAAAGATAGGTCATGGAGAGGACACATATATTTTCCCTTCTCAGTTTGCCAAAGTGTGGAAATATAATTACAATGAATGTAAGGTTTTCCTCAACACTTATTCCTGGAGCTGTGTGTGAATCCTTATGTAGTACCAAGTCTAGGTTTGGTTTTTGTTTTCTTGTTTTGTTTTGGAAGAGAGAGGATGTTTAAAAGGGCAGGTATATCTGATTTTTGGCATTATTATATAGCCAACTTGAAAACTGATGATAAGTTATCATGGACATTGTTAGTACATCTCTCACTTAATGTTCAGCAGGAATGCCATCTTTCATTCCCCCAAAGTATTAGGATACCCATAAGCTCCCTATATTCCAAATGGAGAGTGGGATGGATCCAGGTCTTCACTGTCCAGTATGATAGCTACTAGCCTTACATGGCTATTGAGTACTGGAAATGCAGTAGTCAGAATTGACATGTGCTGTGTAATACACATCTATTTTAAAGGCTTTGCCAGAACACAAAGTAAAATATCTGTATTGATTACATACTGAAACAGTGTTTTAGTTATGTTGGCTTAAATAAAATGCAGTATTAAGTTAGTTTAATGTTAGCTGTTTTGTATTTATTTTTTTTAAAAAAAAATCTATTGGAAAAAAATTACTTAAATAACTTGCATTGTGGCTTACATTTCTATTGGACAATGTATCTTGGATGGAAGGTAGCAATATAGAGGAAAAGCCTCCCTATCCAATACAGGAGCATGAAGGGCCCTTCACAATTAGATTGTTCTAATAGCAAGAGTATCTCCAACCCAGGAGGACAGAGGATAAGGGACCTGGATATTATCATCTCAAAGAATAGCCTTTAACTGAAACAAGAGAGGACACAAACAAATGGAAAAACATTTTGTGCTCACGGGTAGGAAAAATCAATATCATGAAAATGGCCATACAGCCCAAAGTAATTTATAAGTTCAATGCTAGTCCCATAAAGCTGCCATTGACTTTCTTCACAGAATTAGAAAAAACTACTTTAAATTTCATATGGAACCAAAAAAGAGCCCATATAGCCAAGACAATCTTAAGAAAAAAAGAACAAAGCTGGAGGCATCACACTACCTGACTTCAAACTGAACTGCAAGGCTACACAGTAGCCAAAACAGCATGGTACTGGTACCAAACAGATATATAGACCAGCGAAACAGAGCAGAGGCCTCAGAAATAGCACCACACATCTACAACCATCTGATCTTTGACAAACTTGACAAAAACAAGCAATGGGGAAAGGATACCCTATTTAATAAATGGTATTGGGAAAGCTGGCTAGCCATACGCAGAAAACTGAAACTGGGACCCTTCCTTACACCTTATACAAAAGTCAACTCAAGGATCAGGTGCAGTGGCTCATGCCTGTAATCCCAGCACTTTGGGAGGCCGAGGCAGGCAGATCACAAGGTCAGGAGATCAAGACCATCCTGGCTAACACGGTGAAACCCTGTCTGTACTAAAAATACAAAAAATTAGTTGGGCCTGGTGGTAGGTGCCTGTAGTCCCAGCTACTTGGGAGGCTGAGGCAGGAGAATGACGTGAACCCGGGATGGGGAGCTTGCAGTGAGCGGAGATATGCATCAAGCCTGGGTGACAGAGCGAGACTCCATCTAAAAAAAAAAAAATCAACTCAAGATGATTTACAGATTTAAATGTAAGACCTAAAACCATAAAAATCCTAGAAGAAAACCTAGGCAATACCATTCAGGACATAGGCATGGGCAAAGACTTCATTACTAAAACACCAAAAGCAATTTCAACAAAAGCCAAAATTGACAAATGGGATCTAATTAAACTAAAGAGCTTCTGCACAGCAAAAGAAACTATCACTAGAGTGAACAAGCAGCCTACAGAATGGGAGAAAATTTTTGCAATCTAACCATCTGAAAAACAGCTAATATCCAGAATCTGTAAGGAACTTAAAAAGATTTAAAAGAAAAAAACAACCCCATTAAAAAGTGGGAGAAGGATATGAACTGACACTTTTCAAAAGAAAGACATTTATGTGGCCAACAAACATATGAACAAAAGCTCATCATCACTGGTCATTAGAGAAATGCAAATCTAAACCACAATGAGATATCATCTCACCCCAGTTAGAATGGTGATTATTAAAAAGTCAGTAAACAACATGCTAGAGAGGATGTGGAGAAATAGGAACGGTTTTACACTGTTGATGGGAGTGTAAATTAGTTCAACCATTGTGGAAGACAGTGTGGTGATTCCTCAAGGATCTAGAACTAGAAATACCATTTGACCCAGCAATCCCATTACTTGGAACCAAGCCAAATGCCCATCAATGTTAGACTGGATAAAGAAAATGTGGCAAATATACACCATGTAATATTATGCAGCCATAAAAATGAATGACATCATGTCTTTGCAGGGACATGGATGAAGCTGGAAACCATCATTCTCAGCAAACTAACACAGGAACAGAAAACCAAACACTGCATATTCTCTCTCATAAGTGGGAATTGAACAATGAGAACATATGGACACAGGGAGGGGAACATCACGCACCAGGGCTTGCTTGGGGGTTGGGGGGCAAGGGGAGGGATAGCATTAGGAGAAATACCTAATGTAGATGATGAGTTGATGTGTGTAGCAAACCACCATGGCACATGTATCCCTATGTAACAAATCTTCATGTTCTGCACATGTATCCCAGAACTTAAAGTATAATAAACATGAAAAAGAAAAAAAGGATAGCCTTTAACCAAAGATGAACAGAAATTGCCCCTCATGTGCGATTATATATATGTTTTGCACTTTTGTCCAGAAGTGTGCAAGATATGGAGTCGCTGCCAAAATACAGAGTCCCAGTTGCCTGCAGCAGTGACCAGCTGACAAACATATCTTGATTAGATTTTCTTTTCTTCCTACTCCACTATTGGTAATTTCTAGGACGACTTTCCAGACAAACTTCTTTTACATGATCCTACTTACAGGGCCTCCTTCTAGAGAAATCTAATTTAGGACAGAATGTATGAGTGCATGTGTCTGTAAGCAGGAGTGTGGATGCGCAAAGACAGAGAAGTAGCCTTATGTATTTCCAGTTAGCATAAGTATTCATGGGTTAACTTGACATAGTGATTTGACAACCATAATTGTTTTTCTTGTATATCTGCTTTCTTGTCCTCTGGTCCTGCATTTGTGTATCACCATTCTATCCTGGTAATATCTTACCTCCTTCCCTCTAAACAGCATCCTCTGGATGGCTGTGTTCACAAAGTCTTACAGTAGCCAAGTTGGGCCAGGTTCTAGAAATATGGGCCATACGTGACAGCCTAAAAGTTTTCCTTTTGACATTTGTTGAAAGGAAAATCAGTTTTCTTCCTCTGAGGATAGCATGAGAATGACACTTTACTTTCCAGCCTCCTCCTATTGTGACAGGTTGATAAGCACTCTATTTTCATCCTCCTGTTTTCTTCATCATAAATAGGTCTCAATTTATAACCCACATGTGCAGTTTCATTGAGAAGCAGGGCAGAAGGCGCACTGCCCTATTTTAGCTCAGCAGGGCAAGAGCATTAAGAACAATGAAAGGTCAGAGTTACCTATCACAAATATATCTGAATGATAGCATCAACAAAATCAGAATGAGCTTTTCCAGGAAACAGTGACCTTGTGACATAAAAACTATGCTACCTCAATGTCTAGGTTGCATTAAAACAAGCACAGTAATAATAACAATAGCACCACTTCTCATAAGCAAAGTGCTTTCTGATTTGTAAAACACTTTCATAGATATCTTCTCCTTTGATTCTTTCAACAACATTATAAGAGAAGCAACAGTTGTTGCGGATATGCTGGCAAATTATTTAGCAATGCAATCCTACCCATCTCTTGCACTAGCTAATTTGTATAATCTAGTTTCATGGCATTAAGGACACATCCAGGCCTAGGGGAATTAATAAAACTGTGTACAAAACTTGTTTGATGCATGAACACTCAGTCTTTGCAACATTAATTTCAAATGGACAGTTGGCCAACTCACATGTATTTATTGTCTCAGCTCACTCCACCCCAATCTCTATTTTCTTTATCTTCCTCCCATCCACAAATCATCCATACATGACCCACTTGCTTAATTTCTCCATCGATACATTATTCCTTCCTACTAGCCTGGAGCTTGATTTTAACAGCACTCTTGGTAATGGGCCCATTTGGTTTGGTCCCAGGACTGCCTCCTGGGTATTGTCAATAGTTGGCATCCTTCATAGATTTTTAGTGTAAGCCAAGAACTGATATGCAAATTTCTTTTGTCCCTGTGTTGTTTTACCCATTTCTTTGGAAACAGCATTGATAAAGATGCATTGGGACGGCAGCACTGTCAGAAGATTAAATTTTATGACAGAAAGTGCTAAATAAATGGTCTGTTAAAAGATTGAGTAATTAAAAAAATGTAGACACATTGATATGTCAAGCAAGGTAGAAATTAGTATATCATAAAATGATGTCATGCTACCAAGCAGGATGAGCTCATGAATCTTACCAGAGAATCCAGGCATTGGTCAGCATTTCTAGTGGAAGTGTTTGGTTTATGTTTATGGCAGAGAATTATCCTATAATGTAAGCTTCATAAGAGCATGGCTTTGTCCTTGTATCCCACTATGTCACCAGCTCCTAATACAGTGTCTGGTACAAAGAGAGCATACACGCAGTTTTTTAATAAATGGATATCACAATGATTAAATAAATTTGTCTTCTAGTTTATAATAATCTCCTTCGTATTCTAAAGCCGCTGGTATCATAGGGTGTCCTAGAAATAGGCATATTTTAAGGAAGAAATTTGAACAGTCCCTTTAAATTTTCTCAAGCTTCCTTTAATGAAGCA